GCAGAGCTGGTGGCTTTCCACAAATGACAATCACCCCACTGGCCGAGCAGCATCCCCCCCACAGCTCCCCAGCAGCAGCATTGTCACACCCCAACAATGTGCCTTTGCCCACAGACACATGGGCCCAATGGCTGGCACTGACGGTGTCCCTGAAAAGGGCCACTGTCCTCTATTCTGAGTCAGCCTTATTGTTCAGAGCTTAGGGAATGAGGCTTATGTCTAGTTATGGGACAATAATATGTGCTATACACTTGCTGTCAGCAATATTTTAGGTCACTGTGATATCCTTCAGTGCTCTAAAATGACCTCTCCATACCCTAACCTGTAAACTTGTAAATACTCAGGTGCCACTAATTCTAATCCTGCTTCCTCTGAAGTCTTCTGGGACCACCGCCGCTACCAGAGTTAGCTTACTGATTTATTTTTTCACCCTAGAAAATCTAAAGCTATAGAATCTAAAGCTATGCTGATGAATATATATCACTTGAAAGAATAAATTAAATTGTGTTAATACCATAGGATTTGGGAATAAATAATTAATACAGTGATTTTGGGACAGACAAGGATGAAAGGAAAGTAACTTATTTCAAAAGGATGTTCTTTGTATTTACTGTGGTCCGATCTGAGGCACACAGCCTGGCAGCCGATACAGTAAAGAAAGCGTTCTCGGCTGTGTGATTTCTGGATTTGGTGGGCTGAAATCAGAAGGAAAGTGGATGCTTTATAAAGTATGCTCAGAAAAACTGTTTAGAAAAATCATCAATCTGGGACCAGTGAGCAAAGATTGGTGCATTTTGGAAGCATGTCATTGTGTGTTACCTTGCTTTGGGCTTGTATAAAAGCCATTAACACCTCCTCTGCTGGTATATGAAAAGCAGATAACTGATGTAAGTAACTCACCAGCAGTATCTATGATTATAGATGCATTGTATAGCTTCAGGCGGAACTTCTGCACAGAATATTAACTCGTGTTCAAAAATCTACTGAAAATCAGTAGACTTTTTTTGTGTGCTCTGTGTTCTGGGATGCTTTGGGCTGCAAGTAATAGAAAGCAAACCTCCCAATTGCTTAGGCAATAAGTAATATTTTTTGATCTTAAGAACAAGAAGTCTTGACATAGGGTCGCTGAGAGATTGTTTAAATCAGCAGCTCAGTCACATTTTAAAGAACTATTTTGCCATCCTGAGTTGGCCTCATCCTCAATGTGGCCCCTGCATGGCTGCCGGATGGCTGCTATATATCTAGACACATATTAAAGAGCAAGGAAACATTTGTTAGATTTGGGTCATGTACCCACCCTAACAAACCACTGTTAAGGAAAATGGGATTACTGAAACTGGCTTAGGTATTCAAGACTTATTCCTAAATTAGAGATAAAGTCAGCTTCTATGGGGAAACAAAAAATTAGAAGAACTTAAATAAAATAATTATTCTCCTAATATGGAAAAGGGGGAAGGTACTTGGCTCTTGAGTATTGTCTGTGCATATGCTCAGTGGAAATGCCACATCCATATTTCTACGTTACCTTCTACAGGAGTAACTCAGTGGGTCCTAGGTGCAATATTTTAATAATTTGGTGATGGTGGCAAGTTCTCATATTAAAATGTAGCTATCATCTGGTGAGGTTAAGACAAAACAGAAGAATCATATAAGCCAGAAGAATCTCCATTACCTGATTTTGCTAATGAAATGCATCTCCCACCCCCAAATTAGGATGAATAATTGACTGTAAAGGTTTGTCATTCCATTAAGAGGAAATAAGAAAGTAAGAAGCCAGTGTTGGAGTAAACAGTGGAGGAAAACTCTCAAAGCAGAGGTAAAGCATATGCAAAGGTCCTGAGGCAGAAAACAGCATGTGTAAGTGCTGGAATGATTGACTGACAGTGAACAGAAAGAGAATGGCAGGAAGTGAGGAAAGAGAAGGCAGAGAGAAGGAAGCACTTCAAGGAAGCCTTTTAGGTCCTGGTAAGGAATGAGGGGTTTCATTTTAAGTGTAGAGGGGAGCCACTGAAAGATTGAACAGTATCTACAACTATAAAATGACTATAATCCTATACAGAACTATTTCATGCTTTGGAAAGAGTAACACCGTTTGATGTGTTACTTTATGCCTTTACAGAGAAGCTACTTAACAAAGTTCCAACTTAATAGGCAATTGCCAGGAGTTCAACTTCATTACCTTGATTTTGTGCAAAGTTGACCTTTACTTCTCCTTGGTGGTTACGTGTTTTATGGACAGATTAGCCTAGAGGAATGATTTATTCTAGAGCAACTTTAGCACATTTTAAATAAAAGGTAGTGCCTCTGACGGGAAAAGAAAGCTCTATTTCTCAGTTTGGTGAGACTGTCACTCAGTTAATTCCACAGTTGTTCACAGATTTGTTATTGGACTTCTAGAAGAGGATGCTGCCCTCGTGGGCAGGCACACCTTTCCCACATGGTCAGCCTGCTCTCCTTTCCACACTGGTGTGGTCTGCACACAAGGAAACAGACGCTCCATCCTGGAAACTCCGCATTCCAGTTGCCAAGGCCTTTCACCCTTCAGGTGGCATTGAGCTCAACACATTTCAGAGCTCTCCTGTTTCCTTGCCAGTTCCTTGATTTAAAAAAATTTTTCAGTTTGTTTGTTTGTTGCATATTTTCAGCAATATTTTGCTTTGTCAACAATCTTTACTGAGTAGCTGTGCTTATGTGGAGATAAGCCTATTATAGGGCATTGAAGAACAGTGTTAGAGCAGTGTTAGCAGGAGCACTTATCCTGCCTGGGTGGGCTTCCTGGAGCAGCTGACAGTAGAGCTCAGCTTTGAAGGAGTTGCTATGACAAAGATGGACCACAGAGTATAAAGGTCTCACCAAGGACAGTGGCTTGGAGCCTGCTGCAGGAATCCACAGAGAGACTGATACGGCCAGTCCAGAGGTGGAAGGTGTTAGCTTAAAGTGATAACTCCTTTGCAAGGGATAGAGCCAGTGGGGCTTGGAGACTGATTGGACATAGGGCAGGACGGAGGTGATTCCAAGAGTTTGCAGCCACACTAATCTCTTCCCCCGAGGAACAGTTGTTTCAAGCTGAAACACAAAAGTCATCAAAGTTCTTTATGAGACCCTGCTCTGGATCACTTCCCCTTCCTTGGAACACTGATGGAGAGTAACTGGCATCATCTGTGGTTTCAGGATAAAGTGCTTGAGAAGTTTTATTAGGTCTTATTTACAGAGCATTTTAAGATGCTTCCACCTAAATGCAAATGCTTCTTCCTCTATGCCTATTTCCTGCCAGTGGTCAACCAGTCTTCCAAGTGTGGTTAATGTCAGAAACGAAATTGGTTTCTCAAATGTGTTTTCTTTTCTCTTTTTGTTATAAAGTATATTTGGTGCTCTTCGAACTGGTGCTTATATGGTGTACATTTTGATGACCAAAGGCCTGAAGCAGTCAGTTTGTGACCAGAGTTTTTACATTGGACCTGTCAGCAAATTCTGGGCTTATGCATTTGTGCTAAGCAAAGCACCGGAACTAGGTGAGTGTCTTCTCTCCTTCGGTTTCCTCCCCCTCTCTTTGTCGCTACATACCCATAATTTATTAAGAGTGAACAAAGAAACAAACACTCTGAAGGGCCTATCTTGTTTGCTGTAGGAAAGTTACAATGAATACATTTGAGTTCTTAAGTGACTCCCACTTGGGTTTCCCTTCTCCCTCCCTCCTCTTAAATAATTGTACATTGTTCAGTTCACATAAAACATGCTGATTTTCAAGCACCTCTAAAAATACACTTCCAGGGGCTTATAAACTACGGTCCTCTCTCTAAGGCCCATTAATAGCTGAGCTAATGTTAAATTGAGGAGGGGAGGGAAAGAGCACCGTGGCTATTTCCAAGTCCCTTATGGAAGCATACTTTCATATCAAGTCAGGAATCAGTTTAGAAAATCAAGCTTTTCCTTTGGGATCATGTCCTTATTGACAAATGCTAAGGGTTGGCCTCTGGCATCGTTTGATTTTGATTATCAAAGACATTGACCCTGGAAGTCTCATTCGCCTTCCAGAAATTAATAGAAAATACTGTCTGTCTTGGTAGATATCTATGGTTTTCCTTTAAACTGTTGAATGATTTTCAATGTAAGTATGGCATAAGCCAGGAAAAACAGTGAAAAATTGCAAGGATTTGCTATGGGCACAATTCTCTAAGAAAATGTCCTTATCTCTGAGTCCATCCATGAGTAATGGTCACCACCACCTCACAGAGTGGTATATATTCATAGAGAAAACCTGATCACCTTAATTTTCTTTTACCTGGAATTAAGAATTGTATGTGTTTTACTGAAAAAAAAAAAAATTGTTATTTCTTCTTCTGTTTCCCCTAAAAAGGGAGGCTATAATCTCATCATAAGCCACCTACAATTTAAGTTATGACCAGTCTTTTTAAGATGCCCCTAGTTCATGCCCTGTGTCTACTAATCTGGGACATGAGGTCCCTCTGACGTGTGGGTCAGCAGCCTGGCCACTTTCCACTGGATGCTAGTAGTGGCTGGCAATTGGTAGGATTTATTGGTTTGACTATTGTCTTACCAGGTTAAAGACAAAGGGAAAAACAGAAGGAGACACTTTTTTTTAGCCTTTCAATCACTGTGGCAAAAGTCTAAAGAACAGTCCTCTTAGTTCAGAGTAACTAGATAACCATTGTGTGCAGGCGCCCAGGTGCACACACACCGAGAGACTATGAAAACCCTCTGGAGTGAAATATGCTAGTGTAGATTCATTCAGTTCTTCCTTTAATCCATTAATTAAGCACCCACCATGGGCCAGACATTTAATAGGAGTTGGAATAAAAAGGCTACTTTTTCTTAAAAAAATTATATATCTGTAATATAAATTTTATGAACCAGGCCCCCAAAGGCTATTTTTAATACAAATATTGAGATCACTCGCTGCAAAGTCTTAGGCTAGAGAAGGTATTTTTCATTCTTTACAGATAGTGCCAGGAAATCTGAAGAGGTGATTTTAGGAATTTTAAATCTATTAGAAATATTTTGATTTGTGTTTTTATTTATGGATACAAGAAAAGATGTTTGTCTTGCCAGATATTTTTCATTCATAATGATTCTTTTGTGATTTATAGTCATAGGGATTTTCAATCAGGGCATTTGCTCTCAAAGCGGGGTTGGTTTAAGAACGTGAGCATGTCTTTTTTTATTCTTGGAGTTTTGTGACTTTTTTCTTTAAAATAAATTCACGCGTTATTAAAGCTTGAGAATAAGTTGGGAAATGTATCCCCTGACTTTTCTTTTATGCTGTCTCAGTATCCTTATTAATCCTCCACCTTTTTTGACAAAAGCCTGACTATAGACAGAAGAATACAATAAATGCATGAAATGTGATTTCCTTTGAATGCCGCCCTAAGCACTTTCATAATTTCTACCTCTTAATGCTTTCCAAAAAATGCTTTTGAGAAAAATCAGAAATGGTGTCATACTTCTGGCCCTGAAGCCTCAGATTGCAAATAAGCAACCTCAGCCTTTTCTTTGAGAAATACCTTTCCCCAGCAAGAACTACTTGTCTGTGTTGAGTTCTGAGCTCTATCCAGTTGTATATTTGAGGGGATTAAATTAAAATATCTTGGCTCGGTGCCTGTAGCTCAAGCGGCTTGGGCACCAGCCACATACATCAAGGCCGGCGGGTTCAAATCCACCAAACAACAATGACAACTATAACCAAAAAATAGCCAGGCATTGTGGCAGGCACCTATAGTCCTAGCTACTTGGGAGGCTGAGGCAAGAGAATTGCTTAAGCCCAAGAGTTGGAAGTTGCTATGAGCTGTGACGCCACAGAACTCTACCCAGGCCAACAGCTTGAGGCTCTGTCCCCCAAAAAAAGAAAAGGAAAGGAAAGAAATAAAATGTCTTTTCTAGCTTTTGGAGGAATATTTGAAGGCCTACATCAAGTTGTCTATAGTGGTCAGTTCCCTTTCAAGATGTGATTAGACCCAAGTTCTCTGTCCTCTTGACTTCTATTCCAGATTGAAATCAAGGTTTTGGAGGGTGGACAGAGTTAGGGTTCTAAGAGAAAAACCATTAGAACAGCGCTCAGAGGTATGCAAGTCACCCCTGCCTTGTTGTGTGTGCTGGTCCTAATGATGCTAGTATCACCTGTCTTAAATTAACCTAGGCCCAAATGTTCCATTCCCCTTGCGCCCATAGCAGACACTATAATTGAACACATTCTTCCCTCTTGAGCCCAGAAGGAGCCTTAGTCAAATCTATCACTTGCAGTCCCCTGAGTGGTGCGGCCACCGGCATGATAATCCCTTTCCCTGGGGAGGTCTCATTCACCACAATAATTTGCTGTAGTGGTTTGTAGCTTACCCAGTTATCCCTCCCACCACAATATGGAATTGAAGTGTTGACAGAAGGCTGAAGTGTTAGGAAAAATGATATCCTAATCTTAACACAGTTTTCCAGTGGACCTAGTTAGTGACACAAATTCTCCATGTAGTTTCAGATCATTAATAGACGTATTTTCATGTTCTGAGTACACTTTTTCAAATTTTAAAACATAAAATGTTATCCTTCAAATATTCTAGAGTTCCTTTGCCAATAGCCTTTTAGGGCTGAGTCAAAATAGATCCAAAAATCAGTACAAGGGTCTCCAAGGCAACCAGCCCCTGGCCCTTATTTAGTGAACATGATTCCTTGAATTTTTTTTTTTTTTTTGAGACAAGTCTCACTTTGTTAGCCTTGCGGAGTGCTGTGGCATCATAGCTCAAAGCAACCTTAAACTCTTGGGCTCAAGGGTTTCTCTTGCCTCAGCCTCCCAAGTAGCTGGGACTACAAGGGCCCGCCCCAACACCAGGCTAATTTTAGAGATGGAGGTTCGCTCTTGGCTCAAGCTGGTCTTGAACTTCTGAGCTCAGGCAATCCACCCACCTCGGCATGAACCACCACAACTGGCCCCAATTTTTTATAGTTAGAAAATCTTGTCACCACCATTTAATTAAGAAAGATTGATCCATCTAATTACTTAGAACTTTTCTTATGTTTATAGGTCCCAGGTTCTGCTTTTCAATATTCTAATATTCTGGACTCTCTTATGAACACCAAAAGGGAAAGGTCTTGTGAGAAAAAGGACAGTGCTTCCATGTTCAATACTGACAGTGTATTTTACACACACACACACACACCCCCCAAATGTATATGCCTGCAGTTTTCAATAAACTGTTTTTAAATTGTGGTAACATACACATAATACTCACATTGTGGTGCAACCATCACATCATCTATTTCTCACATTTTTACATCTTCCCCAACTGAAATTCTATATCCATTCAACATGAACTCCTTCACTAAACACTTCATAGCAAGAGCTTTCTGCTTCAGCAGAAAACAGTGAGCTCATTTCAGTGAGTTGTAGGGTTACAATGTACGAGAACAGTTGAGAGGGAAAGAGCCACCAACCTGCTGTGTGTGCCAAATCTTTGAGCACCTTCTGTTTGGATTATATTAAAACCTGCTGAGATTTGGTTTTGTTAAAACTTGGAAACATCTGTTCTGAGCCCAGGTCCTTGCTTAGTTGAGCATGTCATTGTTTTTGAAACTCTGACTCAGCAGCACTCCAGCTAGCTCTGTGAGAGGGGCTCGGCCTTCTGTGACAAGCTGCACACACAGAGTAGGCTTCCCATATCTCTTGGTGGCCACAGTACTCTGGGGAATTCCAAATGCTGAGCCATTTCCCTGTAACGGCAAAGTCATCTGTACTTCCCAGGTGCGTGGGTGGAAGGGCTAGTTTAGGAGGGACACGGAGGTACTAGAAACCCCAGGCCCTGCTGCGGGCTATCTCCTGACTGGTGAGAGCTGAACTCAGGTTTAGAGAGCTCATGGTCAAGAGGACAAGAACAAGGAGGTGGCTAAAACAGGTGACATGACAAATGTCCAACAGTCACAAGACACATTGTCTGTACTTGGGCACATTCATTTCCACCAGGACATTTGACCAAGGAAGACTGGTTGACCGACACCAAATACACGAAGTCCCTGGCATAGTTTACGTTTCTGATCACTGTGTGGCTTCTAGAAAGCTTGCAAATGCCATGATATGGCCTGGCTCTTCTTGCTTGTGGCAAAATAAATGTGCCCTGTTGTTTCCCCAGAGGAAAAATAATTGATACCTGCCAAAGCAGCGTGACCGACCTGTCTCAGCTACAGTATCAGAGAACATGAGAGGTCTCACTCAGCTCCTCTGGAGCCTGACCAGTTGCCCCTTGCCTGAGGCAAACTAGCATTCGATTGGTCAGTGGTCTCGGGGGCAGTAACCTTGATATGACTTGAGGACTAATGCTCCTGTCCCGCTCCACAGCCAGGACTGAGAGGTCCTCATTATATCACTGACCAACCTGCATACTTGTTCTTTTTTTTTT